TGAGGCCTGAAAGCCAATGGGAGTTCAGAGTCCAGCTCTCTCGGGCACCCTTGAAAATCTGCGAGCAAGAGGCAGCCTCCCTACAGTGGTCCTGGTCATAAGGGCACTTCTTTGGGAACCAGGGACATCCAGCATCTTGCAGGATTTAGTCTTGAGATTGTTTTCCAGGATGATTCTCAAGAATCCTGTGTACTACAAGTCCCTAGTTCTGGGATAAGACATTTAATGACACCTCCAAGTCTTTCTTTCATCTCCACTCTGCTTTACTTGGGCAAAGCTCCCCACTGACTAATATCTACTTCTTCTCCACCTGTCCTAGGGGATAAGGTTGGCATTCAGCACCTGGACTCCATCCTGAGCAATATGGGGGTCCACCTAACAAATGAGGAGCTGAAGGAGGCCCTAAATCACATGACAGTTGATGGTGGGTATTTCCAGTCTTCACTTTGCTTGTAAGGTGGGGAAGAGGGCCTGAAATTGGTGAGGAGCACTGAGAGTCTGTCTGAGTGCTTGTGCTTTGTGCTAGTTGGATAGCAATGTTGTGATATGTGCACAGTAGATACAAGAGACAATCACTCCATTTAAAATCACATTCTAAAACCAGATGGGGCTTCCTCTTAACCAAGTTCAAATCTGGAATGACCCAGACCTAACAGAACTGGTGAATAGGCTAGTTATCATTTACACCAACTTCATTTTACTCCATCAGGTCAGAATAAAGGGGCCTTAAAGTGGGAGGAGTTATGGTCACACCCACAGCCAAAGAATGTAAATGGACCAAAGTGTCAATGAAAATCCAGTCTAGGGGGTCACTTTGCATTCCCACCAGTGTAAATGGGAGCAGGACCTTGCCCCTTAAGCTTCATGTTCTTCATTTCCCTTCCAAACCTCATGTTTCCTTTCAAGGATGTCATCAGGCTTTTGTTAAGAAAGAGGACATTTCTAAGCAAGGGTCTTTGCGGGGCATTAACTGTTGCACAGTTTAGCACTGACGTCAAATCCCCTCTGCCTGTTTGCCTTTTACTATCTGCTTGTCACTTCCTTTGACCCTGAGATGTTCCCTGCCTTGCAGCAGATGGGAATGTGAATTTGCATGAATTTATGGAGGTAGTGGAGACTGTCCAGAAATTACCCTCTGCTGAAGGTGAGTGAGATCCTAATAATACAGATGGCTGTTAGATGGAAGTTCAGTGAACAAAGGCAGAGTTCTGGGGAGAAAACTATGCACTGATCATGTAACTAAAGATCATCTAATAGTGTATCCTGACAAGAGGTTTAATCGGAGTAATAGGAGAGACTTTTATCCAGGGATCTTGTAATTTAGTGCCTGAGTTGGTGATCTTAGTCCCTGATTCTGCAAACACACAGATGCTCCACTTCCCTCTCAAGTTGCCACCTCACAGTTAGTGGGATGAGGCGTATATGTGCCTGGATATAGAATACATTTTCTAGTTTAGTGTCCAAACTGAAAAATCATGGGGGGAAAATGAAGGTGATTGAAAATGAAATAGAAATCACTGTGTCAGGTCATGAAAATGGCAAAAGCAAAAAAAAATAATATATATTTTTATTCATTTCATTCAACCTGAAATCAAGTGTTATGGAATCTTTGGATTAAATAACCCTTCTACAGACCATTTTTCCCCTCTTTTTTAAACTTTTAGATTAAATGCTTAAATGAAAAATACCACTTGGAAATGAAATGTCAGAAAGGTTTATTTCAAGAATGTTAAAATGAAATATTTTAGAATTGTAAAAATTTCCACCCAGTTTTTGCCAAAACTGTTCATCAAATCTGACTCAGATTCATGTTATTTTTGCTCCCTATGAACCCCATGTTATATTTTTTTTTGAAAACAGTTCACCAAGAACATTTACCATACTTGTCTAAGTAAACTGAAGCACATACGAGGGGCAACCAAAAAGTTCTAAGACTTAGCCTTTATTTTAAAGAATAGTGTACAAACAGCATTTTTATGAGCTGTCCCCTTCAAAGTAATCTCCCCCAGATGATATGCACTTGTCCCAATGTTCCTGTCACTTTCGGAAGCAATGCTGGAAGTTTTCAACTGTGAGTTTTTTGAGTTCCGCTTTCACATTTTTATGGACGGTTGGAATGTCATCAAATCTCCTTCCTTTCAGCTTCATTTTGATTTTTGGGAACAGAAAAAAATCACATGGGGCAAGGTCAGGTGAATACAGAGGGTGTGGTATCACAGGAATGTTTTTTTCAGCCAAAAATTCTTGAATGGAGACAACAGTATGTGAAGGAGCGTTGTCATGGTGCAGAAATCATTGACCATTTTCACACAGCTTGCGGTGGTTTCTTCTAACTTTATCCCTCAAGCGAATCAAAACCTCTTTATAAAAGGCCTAATTGATTGTTTGACCACTCGGTACAAATTCCTGATGAACAATACCCCGAACATCAAGTCTTAGAACTTTTTGATCAAACCTCGTATTTTAATGTTCATGTTTCTGAAGCCATCATAATGTCCTCTTAGCCCAAGTTTTTGTGTTGAATAATAATATTTTTGATGCATCAATAACTCCCAAGAACCCAAACCTAAGAGAAATTGAGCTAAGGTAACTTTTTGTCAAGGCCTTTTTGAGAGTAATGCAAAGAATTCAGTTATCTATGATGAAAAACTGGTTACATGGGCAGGACCCTTAATAAACTGGATTTGCTTTTCACTAGTCATGTTAGGAGGTAATAGATGCACAAGCTACATAACATATATTACATTCCCTGGCTGCTTCAAAACAGCAGGGTAATGCAATACCAACAGAGTTATCCAAAGAGAAAAGTGGGCTGTGTCTAAGGCAAGCACTAAGTTTTTCAGTCCTAATAAATAAACCTGAAACTAGTTGGATTCATCCGCAGTGCCTCATGGTATTCAAGTGTTTGGTATTACTTAGCAGGTAGTGTATGAAGGGCAGGATAGTCTTCTAGCTAAGAGAGGTACATAACCACTTTAGTCTGACATCAGGCATAAGTCAGGGTAGATATGCACTTATAGGCTAATTAAATAAAATACATAGAGTGCGTAAGCTTTTGTGAACTCAAGCTTACTTCATCAGATGCCAGTGAAGTGAGCTTGAGTTCACAAAATCTTACTCTCTATATATTTTATTTAATTAGTCTATAAGTGCATATCTACCCTGACTTCTGCCTTCTAGCTAAGAACAGGACCAAAATCTCAGGCAGCTTGTTCTGCCCACACATTTTCTGCAAACTCTTGGACAAATAACCTAGCAAGGTGTGGTCATCAGCTGTTCATCTAAATCTCTGTCTGCCTCAGTTTCCCCTTCTATAAAAGTATGATAATACTTATCCTCATCTGTTCAGTCTTTAAAGTCCTTTTACATCCTCAACAGAAGGGGCAAAAGAAAGGCAGAGGAGAAGGATTGTCATTAGTGGCCTTGTATGTTCGAATCTCACTCTCACCCTGGCTGCACATAAGAGAATAGCACATAGCTGAGTTGCTGTGAACAATACTTATACATACAGGAAAGGAACCAATATGGGATGCAATATGTTCCCTTCTTTTTACAGAGGACAGAACTGACGTCAGTAACCTGAACAACATTGGTATCTACTTAACTAGTGAAGAGATGCCGGAAGCCCTGAAACATACCACAGATAGAAGTGAGCATTTCCATTGCCCTTGTTTCCTAATTTGGGATATATATGCTTTTTTCCAGAGCTTGTGGAGGTAGACTAGCCACAAGTAAGGGAACTCAGCCCCTGTGTAAGTGGACAGTCAGGAATTCCCTTCCCTTCTCCTTGGAGCCCCTTTCTTCTCTTTGTTATATTGAAACTCATTCAGCACCCCCTGAAGTCAGTAAGAAGATTCCCATTGTCTTCTTTGAATGCTGAAGGATCTTAACTAAGATATGTGACTGGTTTCATCTGTTCCATCCTGTCCCTTCCCCTGCACTTGTATCACAGAATGAAAACTCTGTGCATTGTTATTGAAATTGCTTTCCTGCTCCTAAGCCCACTGGTCCTTACCTCTCATTGTCTTGAGGCTCTGACTCCAAAACCCCAAACAACTCTGTCAGTCCTCATGGAACATTTTGAGTTTTATTCTGTTTGAGAAGACCTGTCTGCCTCCCTTCCTCACCCCTGCTTCACAAAAGACAGTGTCCCTGGTGACAGCTCCAGAGCCAACATGGTACTAGAGAGGGGGGTGATGAAGAAGGCTGCTCCATCTAACAGTTGCCAGAGTACCGCAAAAGCTGCCTTTCTTATTTTATACCAAGAAGCCATTTCCATGTATACTCAAAGGGGCAGCTGAAAATATCCAGAGCACAGAAGCTACCTGGAAACACCAGTCAGCATCCGGGAATCTACCTCTATAACCTGGGGTCTCTGTGGTGGGGTGCTCAACAGCCATGCAAACAAAGATCTGTAGGAGGCCATGAAACATACAGCTGGATGCTTGATATTTTCAGTCTTCTCTCAGTTTGGAAAGTGTGGGGGGAATTGAAACAAGCGGAATTTAGCAGGGTGCATTAAAATTCCTGCTTATGCTTGTGCTTCTTAAATGACAGTGATGCAGTGCCTGCCCAATAAATACAAGAGATAATACATCCATTAAAAATTACCTCCCAAGCCCAGATTCTGCTTCCACTTATGATGGTAGAGATTTGGAGTGACATCAGTGAAACCAGTGGATGAAACAACTGATTCTTATTAAATCAAAGTCGATTTTTAACCACTCTGTTATTATAAAGGGACCTTTAAATGGGCTGAAATTATATTTCTATATTACATAACAGCAATGGAAAGTGACCTTAATGCAAATCATAATCTGGTCATGTAAAGTCAATCCGGACTCATACACACATAAAGGGAGA